GCGGAGTACCTTTCAGCATCTCTGCATGACTCACTTCTCTGGCCCGGCCTGACCTTCTCCTAATCAGGAAGGGTGCTCAGAAACAGTCAGTCATGCCAAAAAATCAGGCTCTTCTGAGGTCACGCCGCTCTGCCTCTTACACAGGAGAAAAAGGAAGTCTTTCTCCATGTGCAAACGGAAGCACGAGACTCCCGTTTCAACTTGGAATAAACAGAGAACCTTTGACAGCCAACCACACGAAACGCCACACAGGAGATGCGTGCATGATCTTGTGCCTTTTTTTTTTAAAGCAGGAATTCAATGTGCGTGTGTGTGTGAGAATACGGCCATGGCAGGGTAGGAGGGGGGAAGACGCTGAAACGCCATTCTCTGCGACAGTCAGCGTGGCGTAACGGATAACAGCGGCGCACTCTAATCTGGAGAACTGGGTTTGATTCCTCACGTCTCCTCCATGTGAAGCCTGCTGGGTGACCTTGGGTCAGTCACAAGTTCTCTCAGAGCTCTCTCAGTCCCATGCACTTCAAAGGGTGCCTGTTGTGGGGAGAGGAAGGGAAGGTGATAGTCAGCCACTCTGAGACTCCTTAAGGTAGAGAAGAAGCAGAGAAGAAGGAAGAGGAGGAGGAGGAGGAGATTGGATTTATACCCCGCCCTTCACTACCCAAGGGAGTCTCAGACCGGCTTACAATCTCCTTTCCCGTCCCCTCCCCACAACAGACACCCTGCGAGGTGGGTGGCGCTGAGAGAGCTCTCTCGAGAACTGCTTGTGAGAGAACAGCTCTGAGAGAACTTGTGACTGACCCAAGGTCACACCAGCAGCTGCATATGCAGGAGTGGGGAATCAAACCTGGTTCTCCCAGATTAGAGTCCGCGCTCCTAACCACTACACCAAAACCTTCTCTTCTGATTTGAGACCTACAGAGCGGGCTAGGAAAGGGTGCATGAAATTCTAAATGTAGCCAGCAGGTGGCAGCACACTTTAGCGAATGGTAGAAATGCTAATATTGTTATAACAGAAAAACGGGGAAGAAGAAGAAGAGGAAGAGGAGGAGATTGGATTTATACCCCGCCATTCACCACCCAAAGGAGTCTCAGAGCGGCTTACAAACTCCTTTCCCTTCCCCTCCCCACAACAGACACCCTGTGAGGTAGGTGGGGCTGAGAGAGCTCTTTCCAGAACTGCTCCTGAGAGAACAGCTCTGAAGGCACTTGTGACTGACCCAAGGTAACACCAGCAGCTGCATGTGGAGGAGTGGGGAATCAAACCCGGTTCTCCCAGATTAGAGTCCGCGCACTTCACCACCACACCAAACTGGTTAGAAAAAGGCAAGACTGGTTAGACAAAGAAAGATGGGGAGTGCAAGGCAGGGCCCTGTTTTGAATTCTTTCAGCACATCCAGATTTGCCGCGTGAACCGCAACAGGTTCCAGGTTGCAAGAGGGCATGGTGCCATGGTGAGAGTGTTGGACTAGAATCTGGGTGACCCAGGTTCTAATCCCTCCTCACTCTGCCATGGAAGCCAGGCCCAGTGACACTCGCAGCCCAACCTACCTCTCAGGGTTGTTGTGAGGATAAAACGGAGGAGTATGACGTGAGCCACCCGGGACCCCCATTGGGGTGTAAATAGTGTAAGTAAGTAAAGGACTCTCAAGGGACAGCTGGCATCGGGCAGAGGTTCAATTAGGAAAGGCAAGACCCAGGTTCAAATCCTTGCATGCCATAAAACCTACTGGGCGGTCACTGTCTCTCAGCGTAACCTACCTCACAGGGATGACGTAAGGATAAAACAGCGAGGGAGAGAACCATGTATTCTGCCCTGAGCTCCTTGAAGAAGAGTGGATAAAAACTATAGAACAAAGTTTGAGTCCAGTGGCACCTTTAAGACCAACAAAGTTCAGTTCTGGTTATAAGCTTTTGTGTGTGTGCACATGAAAGCTTATACCCAGAATTAAATTTGTTGGTCTTAAAGGTGCCACTGGACTCAAGTTAGGGGTGTACAAAAAAAATCCATATTTTTCGGGTTTGGGTATTCCGATTCAGTGAATATTTGGAATTGCTGATTTTTTTTGCGACTCAATTACATCCTATGGGGACCCTTGTAGTCAATGGACCCCATAGGCTACAATGGAGAATTGATCTGGGGGTGTCTGGGCTCCGGAGGCCCTGTTTTTTGAAGTAGAAGTACCAAATTTGCAACATAGGTGCTAGTACCTCTAGTCAACAAACTCCCGAAGTTTCAGAGAGATGGGACCAGGGGGGTCAAATTCTATGGGCCCCAAAAGAAGGTGCTCCTGTCCTCCATTGTTTCCAATAGAGGGGAAAGGGGGTGTTTACAGGGACTGCTGTCCCTTTAAATGCCTTCTCCAAGCTGCATGACTCCATGGCAAGAGTCCGAAGGCGTTTAAAGGGTTCTCAGTCCCTTCAACCACCTTCTCCAACAGGCGAGTTCACCTGGAAGGCATTTAGAGGGACTGAGAGCTTTTAAAATGCCCTTTTACCACAGCTATCCGGCAGTCCTGAAAAATCCTGAATATTTTCGGGATTTTTCAGGACGGCCGTTTTTCGGATAGCCGAATCAGTAGCCCACTTGGTAATGGCCTGAAAAAATACCTGGGGGGAAAAAACCAAATGATAATGGTCCGTGCTCCTAACCTCTACACCAAACTGGCTCCAAAAAGGTTGGGGACCAAGGCTCCCTCTAACCTGTGGAGTCTAAAAGTTCTACTTTGTGACCTACTGGCATTATAGCTGTGAGCGAGCGATTTGGCTGCTGCATATATTAGTTTGCCCTGGAGCCCTCCTTCCTGAGCGGAGACAACAATGTGTGAGCCGGAGGCTAAAAAACTGTGAGCTAGCTCACACTAACTCAGCTTAGAGGGAACACTGGTGATAGCAAACCTTTTAGAGACCGAGTGCCCAAACGGCAACCCAAGTGATGGCGAACCTTTTAGAGACCGAGTGCCCAAACTGCAACCCAAAACCCACTTATTTATCACAAAGTGCCAACATGGCAATTTAACCTGAATACTGAGGTTTTAGTTAAGAAAAAAACAACTCATACATTAACATAAGATGATCCAAACAAAGTAAGGAAAGCAATCCCAAATGCTTTCATTTACTTTGGCAGAGAATTCCACACTTTAATGACGGTCTGGGCCTGGCTGGGGCGATGGCACGAGTGCCCACAGAGAGGGCTCTGAGTGCCGTGTCTGGCACGCGTGCCGTAGGTTCGCCACCACTGGCTTAGAGGGAACACTGTTGGGGCCCCCTGCAACAGACAGACCCTCCCCGCACACACGTGCCATTTCCGTCAGGGGCTCCTTACCTTGCAGGTGTACTCCGCTTCCGTGTGTCTGTGCACGGCTCTGTAGCAGCGTCCCCCGTCGGTGGCCTCTAGAAGGAGGTAGGGGCCAATCTGGGAGACCCCCAAGTCCCGCTCTGCGGCCGGCGGGGAGTGAGCCAGGGGCTGGAGGCAAGGGGTCGGCCCCGGCAGGGGACCCAGACGCGGGCGCTTGCGTTGCGGGCCGTCGCCCTCGGGCGCATCGTCGAAGTCCAGCCGTTTCTTCCGCAGAGAAACTGCCGCCGGACATTCCGCCACAAGGAGATTCATCTGGGGGGAAGGAGGAGAAGGAAGGGTTAATGCAAAATGGAGGAAGGAGCCACTGGGGTGGGAGGGGGCACTGAGTGGCTCCAGCACCCTCGAGAAGTTCACCAGCACAGCATGACGGAAACACCGTCCCCACGGCACTAGTCCTCAGGGTCCCACATTCTCAGGGGAAAACAAAAGGTGCAGGCCCTTGACTGAGCAGTGCACCTCCCTGACAGAAGAAGGAGAAGAAGAGAAGAGATTGGATTTATATCCCGCCCTTCACTACCCAAAGGTTTCTCAGAGAGACTTACAGACTCCTTTCCCTTCCCCACCCCACCCCACAACAGGCACCCTGGGAGGCAGGTGGGGCTGAGAGAGCTCTTGACAGAAACGGCTCTTTTTCAAGGACGGCTCTTATCAGAACTATGGCTGCCCAAGATCATCCAGCAGGTGCAAGTGGAGGAGAAGAAGAAGACGAGATTGGATTTATACTCCACCCTTCATTACCCAAAGGTGTCTCAGAGCGGCTTACAAACTCATTTCCCTTCCCCTCCCCACAACAGACACCCTGCGAGGTAGGTTGGGGCTGAGAGAGCTCTGACAGAAACTGCTCTTTTTCAAGGACAGCTCTTATCAGAACTGTGGCTTGCCTAAGGTCATCCAGCCAGGTGCAAGTGGAGGAGTGGGGAATCAAACCCCGTTCTCCCAGATTAGAGTCCACACACTTAACCACGACACCAAACTAAAGAGGAAGAAGAGGAGGAGGAGATTGGATTTATCCCCCGCCCTTCACTCGGAGTCTCAGAGCGGCTTATAAATTCCTTTCCCTTCCCCACTACCTGTGAGGTAGG